GTACATATGCAGAGGGAGGAAGAAAGGTCTATTTCTGTAATGAACTCAGCATGAACAAGATTTTGCTCCATGAGGAGTCTAATTGCCTCTAGTCAGTCCACAGATTCATTACAGCAAAAAGGTCCCAGTGAACCAAATAACTAGTCCATTCAGAATGTGATGTTCAGGTAAAGCTGTACAAAAAGTTCATAAATGCATGAAAACCTTGTCTTTGAATCACAAAAATGTTCCAGACTTGTACATCTGTGGTGGAACAGTAAGACAATAAAAAAGTGTCTCTGGGTCATATAAAAGCCCAAGCCCTCCACTTAACAGCTTCCTAATAATCCACTTTAAGATTTTTTATTAATATTTCTATGGTTTGTTTAATCAATCATTAGAATATTAGACAATATTTGCCTCTGTTATCCAAAATACATGACTGTGCACAGAGATGACAGAACCTTCCAGAACAACCTTTCAAGGACTACAAGCCGTGGACACAGATTTGCCTTCTGTTCCTCTCAAGTGATGTGAAAGCCACACAGCACAACTGCCACAGCCTCTCTCTCCAAACCCAGGTTGTTCCCAGTCTAAGGACCTCCTGGTAAAGCATGGAAGCAGCGTTGATAACCATCTCTCATCTACAGCTTCCCTTCAGCTCTGACAGCACCTTTACACTGCACCCTGGAGAAACCCTCTCAAACACTGCATTTAAAATGTTCACAGATAAATACTCACATCTCTTTGAACTTGCTTTGGGAAGTCTCGAGAATACGTAATTTTCCAGCAAAACATAAACATATCAAGCAAACCAAGAGTTACCACACTAGAGACACTGAGAAGTCACAGGATCCGGCCACAGAAAACTCCAACTCTCTCCACCCCGTTGCTATTTAGACTGGGCTTGTCTCTGCTCTGCCAAATCAATTTGATAATTATTATAATTATATACCCAAGAAAAATCACCTGCTCAAAAACTAACACAAAACGCTCATCTAAAGAAAGGAAACACAAGAGGTGAATCCAATACAAAATAATAAGTTTCCAATAAACAGTAACAGAAGCCTCTGGAATTAGAAATGCTTCATTCTACATTTAATTCAGAACACTTTTTACTTCCTAATAAGTATTGCCCTCACATTTCACCATCTCTCCATCTCTTCCAACAACCAAATACTCTGTGCAAGTTCTTTATCATCTCTGCACCTAATGCAGTTTGAAATTCGCTTGAAAATGCTTCTTACGCTCTGCATAATTACAATACACCAGATCAAATATTTGAATTAAAAAAGTTGGGCCCTGGAAACATTTTCATCTATTTACCATGACATGGCTTCTGTCAAAGCCATTGGTATCGATACCACCTTAAATGTATATTCAGGTATGTGTAGAATTCTGAATTACAGATTTGATTAAGCAGCATAAAAAGATTACACTTCCATTGCTGTTATGCTAAGATAAATCAGACAAGCTTCTCTTTCTTAATATTTAAAGATACCAGGCTCCAGCTGGAGAAGCTTAAAGCTTTGCACTGCTTTTATCTATTTTAAAATCTTTCTGAACAACAGCCATCAATCCAGAGAAATATATTTTCTAAGTATTCTTTCATTCCTCAACAAAAGACAGGCATTGGGAAGGTACTTAAATCCATTAAGATGCATGTAGAGCAGCCTCTAGCAACTTCCAACCTATTTAAATAAGCAGACTTTTTCTATTTCCATACAAATATTCCAGTAGTTTAGTAAACATTTTGTAGCTCAGTAGGCATCAGTGTTTGTTAATCTCATACATAAAGCATAAATTCCAGCCCTGCGAGGGCTCTGTGTGCTCCCAGGACTCTGCCCAGGCATGCAGACCCTGGGCCAGACGTCTCCGTGGGATGATGATGTTCCTCCAAGTACAGGAGTCGGTTACCGTGTCCAAATGATTCACTTGTACCATCACCTCGCAAATCCTAATTTGATAATTACGGTGATTACCCATTAGCATCTCATCATTTTTTGATGACACACAATGACTTGAGGCTAACTAGCATCTCCAGCTCAAATTTAACAAAAATGCCATGAAAAGAGGGCCGATGGCAGAGGCCAGGAGGCACAAAGAGCTGAGTAAACAAAGAGATGTGCAACAGTTTTGGGACTCTCACAGGTTCATTCTCCTGAGAAGCCCCTGTTCAGAGATGGGGCAGGGCAGTGAGTGGGGTGGGACACACCCTCAGTCTGAGGGGCCAGGTCTGGGAGCACCATTCCCAGCTGTGCACATGGAACAGGCCACAGCCTTTGTCATCTCCACATCTCTTCCACCCAGGAAGTCACTCCCACAGTGGGAAGGTCAGCACTAACAATCCCAAGGTTTGAAGAGAATCCTTTATTACTCACGACAACAAACCACTGTACGTTTCATACTAATTAAATTCGCTTTGGAAAGGAAAAAGAAATCAAATAAATTTTTATATTGATTTATGTAACACGACTCCAGAAGACAGCAAAGCTGAAGAGCTAAGTACAAAATGAATTTAAGAGTGGTTTTATTTACAGTTCGCCTCTAGATCAGCTTTCACTTGCATGATCACTGAAGTTCAGAGAATAGTCAACCAACCTGTTGCAGTTGAAACTCTTTTCTTCCATTCACCTTACGGAGAAGATACTTAATCTCAACCAATTTATCTAATCTGCTTCATATGAACTGAGAACCTGCATTTCAGTACGCCTGAAATATTTCTTACTCCTTTAATGCTGAAATAGTTATTTTAGAAACATTAGCTGGTTATAGCACAGTAATATGATTCATTCAAAATAGCCATGGCCCATATATTTAAAATGTTCATTTTTTTATCATATAAAAAGATTGAAGTCATGTAATTCTCTCATGCATATGACCACATCATTCCATTAGAAACTTCTGTGGCTGTAGCAGAATTTCCATTTTCATGAAGGACTTTTATAAAAACTGTCATCTTCTCTCTAAAGTAAATTTTTGCATAAAAATGATGAATGTCTTAGAATCCATTAGAATTCAGACTGCTAAAAGAACCGTAAGTTATAAATTAAAACAAATTTTGTGAAACCAAATAGAAGCCCTCTGCATCAAGACCTCCATGGTGGTTTATATGTGAAAGAATTCTTAAGAGGATTAACTATAATTTGTATATTCTGCATTATATAAGAACTAAAATAGTTTTATTTTGCATTGTTCATGTCTTCTAAACTCCATACTTTTATCTTCACCAATATTTCTCAGAAATAATGTATCTTACTCTGTTCACTTCCCCTCCCCCTCTTAAATATTGATGGGTAAAACTAACTTGGTGTTAGATCTTTTCTTTAGGATTGTTTGTAAACACCTCATACCTCCCTGAGATACACAGTACCTGAAACTGATAGTACTGCAAATGCTGAGTAATCTGGAAGATGCAATTGAAAAATTATTCTATACTATGTGCTAAACAAAAGTTTCAGTTCACTTTTAATTCAATTAGATGACCGGTTTACTACTAAACCATAGAAAACTGTTTTTATATGGCATCTGATTTCCAAATCACTGGCACTTAAAACTATCTTTTAATAATTTTTTTTCATTTTTAATGTAAATATCAAGAATCATCAGCATTTACCTTCAAAAATGAAGCATCATACTGGCATCTATCAACAACAACTACCAAAAGAAAAACACAAAAAGTGACGTGAATCTAAAATTGTAGAGATAATTATGTCAGGTATGGCTTGTTTCAGGATAACAATACCCTGTTAGGGCTTGCAGGCCTCAGCAGAGGTAATTTGGGAATAGCAATGACAGCATAAACAAAGCACTGAGAAAGGTTTATGAGGGTGGAGTCCATATAAAACACTGGATTAAATCTCTTCTGTATCCTGCGGCTCCAAACTTTTGGAGGATGCAGCAGTAAACCCTGAGCACACAAACTACAGCAGACTTGGCTTCCAACCCCTCTTCCTCAACACACGAGCCCCATCCAGTTATTAAAACTGAATGCACCGTTGTTCCCTATGAAATACTTGAAAACAAAGAACTAAAACACAAAGCCCATTCCCCTTCATGGAGTATTAACTTCCGCTTTTAATAACCAGCTCCTGGTCCCACACGACACAGCCCTGCATTGTCCAGCACACACCACTTCAGCCAGACAATGCTCCCAGCAATAAAACTCAGCCCAGCAAAGAAAGTGAAAGCTGCGTTTGTTCAGCGTGTTATTTGGCGCAGCCAACTGTAATGCTTCTGCCTGCCATTTATTGTTTACTCTCTCAAAGGATTATTAAGAATTAGGCTACATTTGGCGATTTTTTTCGAGAGGGGAATTTACATGCAAAGTGACTGACACTTGATATTTAGAGTCTATTGGTCGACTCTGACCCTTCGTTTACAAGTGACTCATTTGACTGCAAGGATCTCTGATGTGGAAATGCTCAGATACGAATCAATTGCAGTTTTTGTCTCGGCTAAATGTTACTTGGCAATCCAAAAGAAATGAACAGTGCCGAGACCGAGGTTCACATAGAATAGTGCTCATATGTTTAAAGAATTCCTTTTACATGCCCGATTTAGTTCTAGTCGGAGGATTTATGACTCCCCTTCTCCTAATAACTTATCTCGGTGCACAGCGTTTCAAACACACACACACAGACACACACACACACACAGACACAACCAACAGTTAACTCTTTTGCTGCCTGAAAGAACAGCACGGATGTATTTAAGCAAATAATAAAAGCAGGTTTGGTGCCGATGGGGCTTTTGATTCTCTGTGGGAGGTTGGGATAGGGGAAGGATAGGACGAGAAAGGGAGAGAAACATGTAGGTACAGTTTGCAAATCCCTGTTCCATAAAGAAACGATTGTGTTTAAGAAAAGACCATTCCTACATGAAATCAGCTCAGTGAGAATTCTGCAGTTTACCTCTGATAAGGATAAAAGTCAAAGGGTTTCTCTGTACCCCAGCGAGATTCCCTTCCTCTTAAAAGGCAGATGCAGCATTTCTATAAACAAAAATGTCTCTAGCCCTACCTTGTGCCAGTGCTTGCAACATGTGGAGCTGAAGCAACAGAAACGCCCACCATCCCCGACAGAAGATGAAACAGAAGTTTAACTTTATCATCATTCCGCCTCGCCTGCTATTCCTTCGGGCAATAATTTCGCGATCCACCTTTCTTTCAACCGCTATTGCCTCACTGATCCCCATCGGATCCGACTGCCCGCCACTCCTGACAGCGCTTTGGTCATTGCTCATTCCGCACCGCCGGGCCGGGCTCCCCGGGGTGGGTCGGGAGCCTCTGCCCCGCAGTCTGGGGGGAAGCGAAGCCCCCGCTTCCCAGGAACGGCGGGCTCTTTGATTTGTGCTCACTGTGCCTGCAAGCCGAGAGCTGCACTCCGTGTGCCTCCCGCTATGACAGTCGCCACCTAAGTCAATGTTTCTTGTGGAGGTATTGATTGCACCAAAACAACCAGTCAGAAATGTGAAACACATGTTTCTCTGCACTGTCACATCCGATGCCTTCAGCAGAGAGGGAGTAAGTTTATAGGCGTCAGTATTTCACTAAATCCGGATCCTTCAGCACATCGCAAACAGGAACAGGGAAAGACTGATCCATCGTAGCCACCAGCAGACAATCCATCGAGAACCTTTCATACCGCAACGCTGATGGAAACTGTTACCCCCGTGATTTTTATGAAGCGTGGTGAGTTTTCCAGCATGTGTCCCATTCTCCTGTAAAAACCCTCCAATGGAAGTGTTAAATTCTCGCAGAAGGGAAAAAAAAAAAAAAGCGTCAAGGAAAAAAAAAACTAATTGAAAGTATCTCGTTATTCCTTGCGCTGAGGATTTATTTCAGACAATTTCAAGATTAGCCATGCAGACAGAGTAGTCTCCAGATATCCCCGCAAAGCTCTGCATAGTTTATATTAATCCGATTTTCCTTGGGATACAAATCTCTACCGTCAACAGAAGGGTTTGAAGGGTCCTCGAGCAGGTAAATTGAGCAGCTCTGGCTGTGATTCCAGCTCGTCGTGCAGTCAGTCGGCCACAGGCCAGTGCCGGTGTCACTTGAACTCTCACGTTCAGCCGGAGGTAGGGAAAACCTCAGTTGATCCCGTCTCCCTTCTCGGAGGCTGGTGCCGCTCTCTTCCTCGCAGGGAGACCACGACAAAAATCACCTCTCAACATGGAAAAGCGCTTTTTTTTTTTTTTCAGGCCGCCTGCGGACGCAGCAAGGAAACAAACGCTCAGCTGGACAGTGTCCGGGGCGGGGGGGGGAGCGAAAATCTCCCGAAACAAACAGCAACAAGGTGAAATCCTTCCCGGCTCTGCTGAGCCCTCCGTGCTGATGCAGCCCAGGGATCCTGGTGGTTCTTCCTCCGAGCGTCTCTCGCTCACAGGCGCTGTAAACACAAGGGGGAAAGCGCGATCACAACAGCGGCAGCGGCGGCAATAAAACCCCACCAAAAAAAAAAAAAAAAAAAAAAAAAAGAAAGAGAAAGCACTGTAGGTTTTACATTTGAACAATGCATCGGGTATCGTTTCAGTCCCGCCTTCCGTAAAGAGAAAAACTTTCGTGGGAGACTCCCCCTCCCCGCCCCCCCCCCCACCTTGTTAAAAAAAAAAAGAAAGTAGTTATAAGAGAAGTGCACCCAGGATAAAGGCGAGTTAAAAACAAAGCACCTAAGCGCCAAGTTGATCAAACACGAGCCCCGTCGGCTCGCTCCCGCCCCCGAGAGCCGCCTCAACTTTTCTGGTCGCCGCAGGCGGCGGCGGCGCGACCCCCCCCGCGCCCCCCTCCATCCCCGCCCCGCGTCCCGGCTCCCCCGCACCTCCCTCCGAACCGGCAGCGGCGCTGCTGGATCACCTCCCGGCTCCCCTGTGCAGGGCTCTCCCGCCCACTGAGCCTCGTCCCACCTTCCCCTGACCTACACCTCCAGTCTGGGGTGATGGCGGGGTGTGCGTGTCGGGGGGAAGGCGCTGGATCGGGGGCTCTGTGTGTGTATCTGTGTGTGTATCTGTCCGTGTGTGCATCTGTGCGTGTCGGGACTGGGCGGGGGGGGGTGGGCGGCATTTCAGTGCAGGTTCCACGGCCGCAGGAGCGGGGACACAAACACAACACCCCCTTCCATCCCCGCCGGCGCCGCGGGACCTGTTCCCCCCCCTCCTCCGCCCCTCCATTGCTCCCCCCCATCAATGGCCGGGACGCTCATTGGGCGGCGGGTGCGCGCGCAGGGGCCGCGCGCGCGCTCGCGCCGAGGCGGGAGCGGCGCTGTCCCGCGCCCGCTGAGGGCACCCCCGCGGCACCCGATCCCCGTCCCTATCCCCATTCCCATCCTTGTCCCCGTCCTCCCCGTTCCCGTCCCTGTCCCATCCGTCCCCGTCCCCGCGCCAACGGCCGCGCGCGCGCTCCCGGCGGGTTCGCTCCGCCGCGTCCCCGCGCCAACAGCGCCCCCTGTGCGCGCTCGGCGGTGCCGCGGGCGGGGACGCGCCGGGCCCGCCCGGACAGGCCGGGCTGCCACCGCCTCACCCCGGGCGAGCCCCGCGGGGCCGCTTCCCGCCCGCACATCGGGCACGGAGCAGGAATGCGGTGACAGAGCCGGGGGAGCCCCGAGGGGCGAGTTTGAACCCCGTCCCTGCGCGCTGTGCCGTGCGGGGCTGAGCCCGCGGGGCTGCCGCGCTCCCCCGAGCGCGCCGCGGTTGTGCCCCGCGAGCGGAGCGAGGGCTGGAGGTTGGCAGAGCCGAAGCCGGAGGTTTGGCCGCAGGTCCCGCTCCTTCTGCCTTTCTGCCGGGCTGTGCGTGGTGATCGAGCCGTGCAGCAAACACTGTACATTATCACACCAATTGCAAGGTCATTTTTTCCCGTCATTAGCAGCTGAGTGTCGGACTGAGGTGTGTTATCCAATAAAGCACCTTTTTCCTCAAGCCTTTGTTATTTTGCAGTGTAAAAAAAAAAAAAAAGGAAAATGTGTTCACTATTTGCACCCCAGCACATGCAAATGGCATTCCCTGGTTCCCTGGCAGCGTCTCCCGTGCCCAACACTCGCCCCTCACCTTTCCTATCCGAGCCATCGCATCCATCAGCATCCAAAGCTGATGGGCAGCTTTTCCTCCTGACCCTCGCCTTGTATCTCACAGGTACATCTTGTCTGCCAGACTCCCACCTACGCCAGTCCCTGCTGCTTCCAATATCCAACAGGTTATTAAGTTTTAGTACATCCATTTTCTGCCCACCCTTCATCCCTGTGTGTGCCAGCTTGTTCCTGTGTTCATGAAGTTGCTGGACTTAAATCCTTCTCCTGTTCTGGCACCTTTTCCTGGTAACTAAGAGATATGAGCTGCATTATTCACCAGCCGTCTCTTCCTCGTGGTAAACAGAGTGAAAACAGCGATTCTGTTGAGCCTCTCACGTCACACTTTCCTTTTTTTGTGCACAGACCACATGAATAATTATCTACACATATCAGGACCCAGCGTTTATGATTTTCCCTTCAATGCGTCCGTTTTGAGAACAATGCAAAATGAACCCAGATTGTTTTGATCTGCATTCAGAACTGACCTCAAGGAAGTAACAATCTGTTTGTAGCTCCCATTGCGCCATTAATAGTCATTAATTTACTGCAGCACGAAGAAACCAGTAATTTTGGGTGGGACTGATTTGCCTTAACTGAAAACGGAAAATATATTTAATTATGTGCTGGGTGGTTGTTGTTTTTTAAGGACTGTTAACAAAGGAGCATAGGGCTGCCCACGGAAATTTTAGACTTCAAATTCAGTTTGATATCTAAGAAGTTCTTTGGTGCTTCCTCCTAAGTTCTAAGGGAGGTGGTTTGCAGTGGTCATGATATTATGGCCTAAAGTCTGCTGAAAGAGTCATTGTCAAACTGTTAAAACCAAGATGCTACAAAGGAGAAATACTAATTTCTGTAACCTTGTTTAATTATGGTGAAAGTTTGTGTCATCTTGGAATTAATACTTTTTCCTTGTAGCACTTTAAATCTGTTCAATGTGCAAACATTAAGAATAGGAAGGTAACCTATTTTCAGCATTCAGGCCTTGCTTTTGAAATTATTTAAATATGGTAGTGTTTTTTATAGTTACCAACTCCACAGTTTGGGTGAAATGTTTGCAATTTGTTATTTCCCTGTTTTTAGCAATAAGCATGTCCCTTTGACACATCTTAGAAGACAACATTCATGGTTGGGGTTTTTTCTATATACCTCAATTACAATAAATGTACTTAGCATTGTTCACCAGAAAAAAATTATCTGAAATCTTGTTATTTAGATTAGTAAAAACATTTTACCATTTTACTGCTGATGCTCCCTTGTGCATGCATGTAACAAGTGAGGAACTAAACCATTAAACATGTAGCAGGAATACCATAGGACAACAGCTCTCCCACCTAAAAAAAGCAGAAAACAAATCTGATGGTGGTAAAGACAGAAAAAAAGAAGGCAATGAGTTTTCGGGAATTTTAAAAGTAAGTAAAAGAGCAAAAGAAGCAGTGTAGTTACTTTCATTTAAAGGTGGAAAAAAACAGATTTGAAAGTTTTTTTCAGTGACTGTTGTGTTTTGAAATGAGGTGTAAATGCAGTGAGATAATGACACAGAAGAGAAAGGAACAGAAGGCTCCAGTACTCAAGACAGGCCACTTAATGAAAGGCAGCCTTCTAGGCAAGAAAATGTAATCATGGAACTACTTCCACAGGAAAATCTAACCCATGTTGTCTTTTACAAGATTTTATATCTTCTAAGGTGCAGCTTATTGACTCCCTAACATTTGGAATTAGCTAAAGTCCGATAGGCAGAGCACTCTCATGTACGAATAATTTTTTATGCTTGTTTTCTGAGAGAGATACAGAAGGTTGTTTGGATCTAGTGTTCCTCCTGATGCAGTCTCTGGTTGTAGTCATTGATGGGTAGCACCCAGCTGGGGTATAGATTATACCAAATATGACAGCCAGATAATTGCTATAGTTTAAAGAAAAAGCCCTTACCAAAACCTTTGAAAATTAAATGGAGAGAGATATGAACACCATAACAGGCAAAATCATAATATATGCAATATATAACACAATAGTTAATATTCTAAAAAAGTTCTTCATCATAAGCAATGTAGAACAATTAATATTTTTAATTCTTTGGATAGAAGGTATAGATCTTGTCAGTACCCTGAAAACAGTTTCATGGTTTGTTCCTACACTTCCATTTTTCTTCACTCAAAAGCTTAAAGTGCAGAACTCGTCCCAGGCTATTTTATTGACTCAGGGCTGTCCCAGAAGGGTTTTATATTGCCTTTCACTTTCTCCCAGGAGGGACAGTGCTTTAGAAAACAATAAGTATGTGAGTAGAAAGTAACTTACTTTCAAATGGGATTGGTATTCAGCATACTAAATAAACTATTGGGGGGGGGGCTAAAATCCTCCCTAATGAGGGGACATTCCCAAGGGACACGGGCAGCTGCTTTGGTTTTATCATGTAAAGATGCTTTTACGTCAATAATAAACGTTGGAAGAGAAGGAAAAAACTATCCCATTACATAGCTGGGAGTCACAGGGGAGACATTAGACGATGACTTCACCACAGTTCTGGAAGTATCTTCTGCAGGAAACGCTGTTGCAAGAACAAGAATAACTCCCATTAAATTTTACTGGGCTTAAATAACTTAATATGGTGTCAGTTTATAAAGCCCCAAACAAAACAGAATGACAAATTTTTGTTTTCTCCATGTGGTTTGAATTTACATAAAAGAAATTAGAATTAGATTTATGTACCTCTTAGGTCTGATTTTAAATTCAGAAATGCGAGCAAATTCAGAGTTAAATTCCTTCTCTTGCTGCTTAATATGATTGTGCTCAGGAGTTTGGGAACAGACGAGGTGCAGTTCTGAGGCACAGCGGCAAAAGTTGAGGGCAGAGTGAATATATTGAAATGTTTCATGGCTTTTATGAGCCTGAGAAGGACCCTGCTAGAGCTGTAGCACAGCTGTGTTTGTGTTCAAACACAGTTCAGCTGATGGGGACGATGCTTGTACAGTCAGGAGAAGGGGCTGGATAACTTCTGAGTTACCCCATCTCCTGTATTATCCCAAGGCAACAACAGGCTTTCCCATTTAGCCATCAGAAGACATTCACAATGCCCCAGCCATGTTGCCCTGCTGTGTTTTCTGGAGTAGAGAGTTAGCAAAGTAACATAAAGGATCAAGACAACAGGTCCTGCGTTTTTGAAATGTAGACGTTTGAAAACATTCTTAGAGCCTCCCAGAGGAGGTCTACGGGGGCTGTAATGATCCTGCTCCAGCCAAGTTGGGCTGGAATGTAGAGAGAGATCTTATTTTAAGAAGTCTGTGTCTTCAAACACCGGCGGGTCTGGCTCTCCAGCCATGGGTTGCTGGGTTTGCCCTTTCATGATTCAGATGATGCCCCAGGCAGGAGTGACCTGAGCACTTTGAGGAATGTCTGAAGTTGCCCGTAAATACGAGGGCGGACTTTGGACAAAGACTAAATGTTCCCGTTTAACCTCACCTTTGTACCTGTGAAGGGCCATCTTGGTGACTTCCTCAACCTTCGAGTTGATCAGGAAAAAAATAAATGAAGCAGAATCTGAAACCATAAGTACCAAAGAAATCTACTAAATTGCAACTGAATATTACTACTGAAAAACATTAATGCATCAGCTTGCACTTGATCATACTGGGCAGAAGACTCTCAGAGAATACATCAGACTGGAGGGAGTGCAGTGTCAGTTACTTTCTTTTTTTCCCCCTCCTTTTTTTTTTCCTCTCCAGAACTAAACCAAAACCCATTTACAGAATTAAGAGGTGTTGCTTCTGCAGGAGATGTCAGGTAGAACATAAAATGTTAAACACTTTGAAATGAGATACAATTTCACAGCGTTTGCCATTTTTTCAATGACGTTGATAATTACAAAAAAAAAGCAAAACCCAAAACTGAAGTCCTTGTATACCCTTCAAGATCTAGTGTGATTTCTGTTGGTTACAGTTTTCTTAATTTACTGATCTTCCTGTACTAAGATGCTATAATATTGCCATGGTTTCACCCAGAGAGGATTCTAGTTCAGTGATCAGGGAACTGGTTCTTAT